TATCGTTTGTATTTCAACAACGATTTTTAAACATTCGTCACAAGATTATGAAACTGTTAATATTTTGATGAATCTAACGGTTTTCCAAGATAAGCCATGGAAAATTTTAACAATACACACAAACTGGATACAACGCTTTCATTTTATTCTTCACCATTGACTTACAAATATTTCATAGATTTTATCACGACCGATGGAAATTTCTAATGTCTCGAAATGCACATATTCCTTTAAAGGAATTACAGGTCTTTGAACATTACCAATTAGAAAATGCCACTCAACTATGTTCTTTGTGTATTTTATTTTTACATCCAAGTTACTTATTATCGTTTAGCAAGAAAGATCTATAAATATTTCTGCATACTAGGAAAATATTTTAATAAAAATCTCTTTAATTAGTGCAACGTGTATGTGCAATGGTTCCAAGTGTTAGTGCAATAACTGAATCTGAAGTCAAGAAGAGCAAACCGAGTAATATTTCAATTCTCAAAAGATTTTTGGTTTGGTTTGTCTCTCTAATGTCATCTTGTGCAAAAGAGGGCTACACAGAATGGCATCTACAGTAGTATATTTTATCTTAGGTTAGAAAATTATATTTAATATTAAAGTGATGAGACAATTTGAAGCCTTTGAGATTGTACCGTTAAATTCTGCATTTATCTACTATTGACTGATTGAGTTTCAAAGCAATTGGATTTTATAATTTTAAATAAAATATGATATAATTAGGATCAATTAAAAACAGTCAACTATTTTAAGAAAAAATTAGCACACAACGTTTTCCAGGAGCAGGAATCGAACCTGCGATCACAATTGTGAGTCATAAGAATGTGAACATAATAAAAAAATTACTGACGAGAAAATGAATGCCACTGTTCTAAAAGCATGGGGTCCTTTGTGTGACATTTTTAAACTAACTCTGCATTTCGGAATGAAACTAGTGAAATATTATAACAATTGATATCGAGCACTCCACGCTTTTAGAACAGTGACATTAATTTTCTCGTCAGTAATTTTATTCTTATGTTAACAATTATTTTTTACTTTTTAGTTTGATTAACTCTAAAAGCGTGTTTTTTAGTTTTTTTAAACTATAAATTATTTAATATCAAGTAAGTGATGAAGCACTTTGAAGTTTTTTCGTATCTATTCTGCTATTATTTGAGATTGACTGATTGAATTTCAAAGCAATTGGATTTTATAATTTTAATTAAAAATACGTTATTAGGAGTACTTAAAAACAATCAAGTTTTCTGACAAAATGCTAGCACACAACGCTTTCCAGGAGGAGCAGGAATCGAACCTGCGATCACACTAGAGTGTCAGTTCACATTATCTCCCTGATCGCGCTGTTACATTTCTCAACAGATGGCGTCGGGTTTCGGAGCACCTCGACACCCTTCGCTTAAGTACCTTGTCGAGAAACAAGTCTATTACCGATTTCCAAACGGATCATCATTACTAGAATGATTATTTTTATTTCAATGCGTTTCACTGAATATTAACTCAATTAGAGATTTTGTTAGTTTTATGATTTTTTTTGTGACATTTTCCACGTGCACTGTATAATTTTTTTTTGTGACATTTTCTACAAGCATTTCATAATATTTTTTTTTTTTTTAACATTTTCTACATGCATTTCATAACATTTGATTTGTGACATTTTCTACATGTATTTTATAATTTTCGCTGTTTAGTTTTTTTTACAACTTTCTTCGAGTAACAGCTTTCGAAGTGGGAGTTTTAAAGTCTAACGCTATAACCACTCGGCCATTCTAGACTGCATATACCTGTAGTCTCTAAATAATTTTTGTCTATTTGCTGCAATTGCTATCGCTGGTATTTTAACAGCGATTTTTCAATAATTTTCACAAGGTTATGTATCTTGTAATGTTTGGCACCTTGATGAATCTGACGCTTTACCAAGTTAACCTATGTGAAATTTTTACAAATACAACAAACTGGATACAACGCTTTCATTTTATTCTTTGCATTGACTTACAAATATTTCATAATTCCTATTGCAATGACCGATGAAAACTTCTTAGGTCTCGAATTGCACATGTTCCCGTAACCTTTACTGGAATTACAGTTCTTTGAACATTACCAATTAGAAAATATTACTCATCTTTGTTCTTTGGGTAATTTATTTTTACGTCCACATGTTATTCAATTGTTTATACAAGGAATGTATATTTTATTTTGTTATAGCGTGGAAAATATTTTAAGGTTTGAAAATATATTTAATTAGTGCAAAACTGGATTTTGAAATGGTGCCAGCGATTAGTGCAATAACTTTTAATTAAAATGGTGTCATTGTTAAAATATAACTGAATCTATTAGTTGTAATAAAAAATAAAGAGCAAAGCGACGAAATATTTCAATACAATGCTCATAATCTTCCGAAAACAGTTTTTTCACAATAAACCGGCTCTTATTCATCTTCTTCATCAAATGTATACCATTCAAACGTCACCGCTATGTTATATTTTTGAAAAACTATAAATTTTCCCATGGTAAATTATTTGAAAGTAAAGGCCAGATATATCTGTGCTAAATTTTTTGAAATTCAATAAATGGCATGGAGCTTTCTCAGTACTTTCTCTTAAGCATAAAATCAATCAGATTTCAATCTTGAACGGTTACTTTTTGTTGAATAACAGATGAATCTAAGAGCTTTTTTAAAACGTTTTATCAATGGAAATCAATATATACAATTTTTTTCAAAATTTGCTAGCGTTACGGTAATAAATTTGATTAACAAAAATAAATTCACATGCGTTTGGATCACAAATGTTATGAGGATGATAACATCGTATTTTCTGATTGGAAACATAATGTTCAAATTTTTAATTCCATTAAAGATTTAAAGAATATGTTCAAAAGATTTTAGACATTTTTCGGTCTTAGGTTAAAAAAAGAAATATTTGAAAGTCAATGTCAAGAATAAAGTGTATGGCTTTGTATCCAATTTGACTGATTGAATTTCAAAGCAATTGAATTTTATGATTTTAATAAAAAATGAGATAAAATTTAACATAGGTTAACTTGAAAAAGCCCGAGATTCATCAAGATGCCAAATATTACCAGTTTCATAATCGCGTGATAAATGTTTAAAAATTGCTGTTAACATACCAGTGACAGCATACCTACAGTAAACATACCAACCCTTACAACAATTTGAGTAAAATTATTTAGAGAAGACAAATTGACGTATTCCAGTATGGCCGAGTGGTTATGGCGTCAGACTTCAAAACTCCCACGTCGAGAGCTGTTACTCGAAAAAGATTATAAAATTATGGAAAAGAAAATTATAAAACCTTTGAAAAAAAATTATAAAACAATTGAAGAAAATATCCCAAAAAAATTATAAAATTGACAAAACCTCAAATTGAGATTATATTAAGCACAAAACATTAAAATAAAAAAAAACGTAAATTAACCATGGTGGTCCGCTCAGCAATCGGTAATAGATGAGATCGAGATTTGTAATTCGACAAGGTTCTTAACGTAGGGATATCGTGGTGTTTCAAAACCTTACGCCCTTTCTTGAGAAATGTAACGGCGCGATGTGTGGAGATGATGGGATCTGACTCACTGTTGTGATCGCAGGTTCGATTCCTGCTCCTGGAAAGCGTTATGTGTTAACGTTTTGTTAGAAAACCTGATTTTTTTAAATGATCCTAATTACATTTTTTTTTTTTAATTACAATTATAAAATCCAATTGCCAATTGATAGATTTAAACTGTACAATTTCAAAGGCTTCAAAGTGTCTCATCACTTACTTGATGTGAAAAATAATTTTCTAACGTAAGAGAAATAGTTTAGAATTTTTTTTTACTGTTCTTAATTGCATACACGAGTAAAAAATTTGCCTTATGTCATATCCCCCCCCCCCCCGTCCGACGAAATAAGTCATGCATGTTATTCAAAGCCATATTAATACATTTAATTTCCATGTCATTTTATTTTGTTATAATTGTCAATTGATTCACTTGATTACCGCCAAGGTTTGTGAAGATATATATTTACTTACTAAAACATTTTGGCAAGGTTTCAATCGATTCAGGTGCTTTTTAATTAAAATACCAGTTAAATATTATCTCGTAAAATATTACAACAATAGCAAAAAAAAAATAATAATAATAATAATAACGAACGTAATTCAATACAATTCTCACAATAATGAAACAGTTTTATCACAATAAACCGGCGTCCTTATTTATTACTTCAGCAAATGTATACCATTACGCTATGTTATATTTTGTGAAAAATTTTCTATAATATTTTAACATGGTAAATTATTTGAGTAAATGCGTCCAGATATATCTGTCGATTAAATATAGATTTGGAATTCAATAAATGGATTGTGACTTTTCTCAATACTTTCTCTTAAGGCATAAATATTAATCATCATTTTAATCTTGAACGGTTACTTTTTGTTGAATAAAGTGTAATTAAGGAGATTTTTAGTAAAACGTTTTAATCGTACATAGGAATATCAATATATACTATTTCTTTGCTAAGCAATAATAAATATTGTGAACGTAAAAATAAATTACACAAAAAATAAACAGGAGTAAAATCTTCTGATTGGTAATGTTCAATGAATTGTAATTCCATTAAAGATTTCGAGAATATGTTCAAATCGAGACTTTAGACATTTTCATCGGTCATTGCCATAAAAACTAAGAAATATTTGAAAGTCAATGTCAAGAATAAAGTGAAGGCTTTGTATCCAATTTTCTGTATATCTCAAAAATTTAACTTAGGTTAACTTGAAAAAGCCTGAGATTCATCAAGATGCCAAACATTACCAGTTTCATAATCGCGTGATAAATGTTTAAAAATTGCTGTTAACATACCAGTGACAGCATACCTACAGTAAACATACCAACCCTTGCAACAATTTGAGTAAAATTATTTAGAGAAGACAAATTGTCGTATTCCAGGATGGCCGAGTGGTTATGGCGTCAGACTTCAAAACTCCCACGTCGAGAGCTGTTACTCGAAGAAGATTATAAAATTATCGAAAAAAAAATTATAAAACAATTGACGAAAATGTCTCAAAAAATTATAAAATTGACAAAACCTCAAATTGAGATTATATTAAGCGAAAAAACGTTGAAATAAAAAATAACGTAAATTAACAATGGTGGTCCGCTCAGCGATCGGTAATAGATGAGATCGAGATTTGTAACTCGACAAGGTTCTTAACGTAGGGATATCGTGGTGTTTCAAAACCCTACGCCCTTTCTTGAGAAATATAACGGCGCGATGTGTGGAGAAGATGGGATCTGACTCACTGTTGTGATCGCAGGTTCGATTCCTGCTCCTGGAAAGCGTTATGTGTTAACGTTTTGTTAGAAAACCTGATTGTTTTTAAATGATCCTAATTAACTTTTTTTTTTAATTACAATTATAAAATCCAATTGCCAATTGATAGATTTAAACTGTACAATTTCAAAGGCTTCAAAGTGTCTCATCACTTACTTGATATGAAAAATAATTTTCTAACGTAAGAAAAATAGTTTAGAATTTTTTTTTACTGTTCTTAATTGCATACACGAGTAAAAAATTTGACTTATGTCATATCCCCCCCCCCTCCGACGAAATAAGTCATGTATGTAATTCAAAGCCATATGAATACATTTAATTTCCATGTCATTTTATTTTGTTATAATTGTCAATTGATTCACTTGACTACCGCCAAGGTTTGTGAAGATATATATTTACTTACTAAAACATTTTGGCAAGGTTTCAATCGATTCAGGTGCTTTTTAATTAAAATACCAGTTAAATATTATCTCGTAAAATATTACAACAATAAAAAAAAAAAAAAAAAAAAAAAAAAAAATAAATAACGAACGTAATTCAATACAATGCTCATAATAATGAAACAGTTTCATCACAATAAACCGGCTTCCTTATTTATTACTTCATCAAATGTATACCATTACGCTATGTTATATTTTGTGAAAAATTTTCTATAATATTTTAACATGGTAAATTATTTGAGTAAATGCGTCCAGATATATCTGTCGATTAAATATAGATTTGGAATTCAATAAATGGATTGTGACTTTTCTCAATACTTTCTCTTAAGGCATAAATATTAATCATCATTTTAATCTTGAACGGTTACTTTTTGTTGAATAAAGTGTAATTAAGGAGATTTTTAGTAAAACGTTTTAATCGTACATAGGAATATCAATATATACTATTTCTTTGCTAAGCCATAATAAATATTGTGAACGTAAAAATAAATTACACAAAAAAAACAACAGGAGTAATATCTTCTGATTGGTAATGTTCAATGAATTGTAATTCCATTAAAGATTTCGAGAATATGTTCAAATCGAGACTTTAGACATTTTTATCGGTCATTGCCATAAAAACTAAGAAATATTTGAAAGTCAATGTCAAGAATAAAGTGAAGGCTTTGTATCCAATTTTCTGTATATCTCAAAAATTTAACTTAGGTTAACTTGAAAAAGCCTGAGATTCATCAAGATACCAAACATTACAAGTTTCATAATCGCGTGATAAATGTTTAAAAATTGCTGTTAACATACCAGTGACAGCATACCTACAGTTAACATACCAACCCTTGCAATAATTAGACTAAAATTATTTAGAGAAGCCAAGTCGTCGTATTCCAGGATGGCCGAGTGGTTATGGCGTCAGACTTCTAAACTACCCCGTCGAGAGCTGTTACTCGAAGAAGATTATAAAACTATCTAAAAAAAAAATTATAAGTGTATTGAAAAAAAATAATAAAACTATTGAAAAAAAAGTTATAAAGCTATTGAAGAAAATATCCCAAAAAAATTATAAAATTGACAAAACCTCAAATTGAGATTATATTAAGCACAAAACATTGAAATAAAAAGAAAAAGTAAATTAACCATGGTGGTCTGCTCAGCGATCGGTAATAGATGAGATCGAGATTTGTAACTTGAAAAGATTCTTAACGTAGGGATATCGTGGTGTTTCAAAACCCTACGCCATTTCTTGAGAAATGTAACGGTGCGACGTGGGAGATGAGGTGATCTGACTCACTATTGTGATCGCAGGTTCGATTCCTGCTCCTGGAAAACGTTATGTGTTAAATTTTTGTTAGAAAACTTGATTGTTTTTAAATGATCCTAATTACCTTTTTTTTTTAATTACAATTATAAAATCCAATTGCCAATTGATAGATTTAAACTGTACAATTTGAAAGGCTTCAAAGTGTCTCATCACTTACTTGATATGAAAAATAATTTTCTAACGTCAGAAAAATAGTTTAGAATTTTTTTTTACTGTTCTTAATTGCATACACGAGTAAAAAATTTGCCTTATGTCATATCCCCCCCGTCCGACGAAATAAGTCATGTATGTCATTCACAGCCATATGAATACATTTAATTTCCATGTCATTTTATTTTGTTATAATTGTCAATTGATTCACTTGACTACCGCCAAGGTTTGTGAAGATATATATTTACTTACTAAAACATTTTGGCAAGGTTTCAATCGATTCAGGTGCTTTTTAATTAAAATACTAGTTAAATATTATCTCGTAAAATATTACAACAATAGCAAAAAAAAAAAAAAAAAAAAATAAATAAATAACGAACATAATTCAATACAATGCTCATAATAATGAAACAGTTTCATCACAATAAACCGGCTTCCTTATTTATTACTTCATCAAATGTATACCATTACGCTATGTTATATTTTGTGAAAAATTCTATAATATTTTCCCATGGTAAATTAATTGAGTAAAGGCGTCCAGATATATCTGTCGATTAAATTTAGATTTGGAATTCAATAAATGGATTGTGACCTTTCTCAGTACTTTCTCTTAAGGCATAAATATTAATCATCATTTTAATCTTGAACGGTTACTTTTTGTTGAATAAAGTGTAATTAAGGAGATTTTTAGTAAAACGTTTTCATCGTACATAGGAATATCAATATATACTATTTCTTTGCTAAGCAATAATAAATATTGTGAACGTAAAAATAAATTACACACAAAAAAACAACAGGAGTAACATCTTCTGATTGGTAATGTTCAATGAATTGTAATTCCATTAAAGATTTCGAGAATATGTTCAAATCGAGATTTTAGACATTTTCATCGGTCCTTACTATAAAAACTAAGAAATATTTGAAAGTCAATGTCAAGAATAAAGTGATGGCGTTGTATCCAATTTGCTGTATATCTCAAAAATTTAACATAGGTTAACTTGAAAAAGCCCGAGATTCATCAAGATGCCAAATATTACCAGTTTCAAAATCGCGTGATAAATGTTTAAAAATTGCTGTTAACATACCAGTGACAGCATACCTACAGTTAACATACCAACCCTTGCAACAATTAGACTAAAATTATTTAGAGAAGACACATTGACGTACTCCAGGCTGGCCGAGTGGTTATGGCGTCAGACTTCAAAACTCCCACGTCGAGAGCTGTTACTCGAAGAAGATTATAAAATTAAAAAAAAAAAAATTTAAACCTATCCTTTTGAAATTCCAACATCATCAGCAAGGTCTCTAATTGTACATCGATGGTTTGCAAGCACCCAATCTTTGATTTTTTGGGCGTGAGCTGCGTCGGTTAAGGTTGGTGGTCGACCAG